GGCTGAGAGGTTTAAACAGAAAACTGTTTGCATCCCTCCGACAGAGACGTCCTCCATATCTGATCGTCTAAATACAATAAAATAACTGAAAACACAGAGTAGATGGCTGCTAACAGCTGAATGACTGCTGAAATGTTCTAAAAACAAAGCTTTAGCTTCAATATTAAAGCTAAAAGAAGCAGAACAGGCTAGCTAAAACATAAACATAGCAAAACACCTACTAACAGTTAAAGGTTGGCAAAAACCTAACCTAACCCAAAGCCAGCTAAAATCTAAATGCTGCAAAGGCTTGCTAAAGTAAAAGCTAAAACAAATGAAAGGCTTGTTAAATGCTTAATGTTGCAAAAGGTTAGCTACAGTCTAATAGCAAAAAGTTATGTTATGTTAGTTAAATTACTTTAACAAGCAAAGGCTTGTTAAAGTAGGAAAATGTTTATTAAAAACCAAAATAATTCAAATGCTGGTTTAAAAATAAAAAATTTAAACTAATAAAAAGGCTAGCTAAAGGTAGCAGAACAGTAGCTAAAAGTATAAGAATTGTAGCTAAAACTTTAAAGTAGCCAAATAGCTAGCTAAAATATAAAGGTAGCAGAACAGTGACTAAAATTAGAAGTATAGAAGCTAAAAGTATCAAAAGAAGACAGCTGAAGCAGATTTCAAAGAGAAAATGTTTTAAAAAGAACAAGTTAGATCTCTGGGTTGTTTGACAGATGTTTGTTAATTAAATATTTTGAAGAGTTAGAGAAACGTCATAACACCCATCTCCTGAGTGAGCTGAACTATATAAATGGATAAAATAGCAGAAAGTATTGTGTGTGCATTCACATAAATATCTTACATCAAGTAAAACAAGATTAACAGATCTGCATTGATCTATTTCTTTTCTTTTTTTAAAGTTCATCACAAAACCTTCACCTTTAGAGGAAACGACGCCGTAAATGTGTGAATGTTTACATGCAAATGTTTGGACAAATCCCCAAACAGACGGTTCACGAGCTCCAGTGGGGGGGAAGCTGGATTATTTCTTCCTGATGCCCTTTGTTTGAAGAAAAAGGTGTTGACTGACAGCTGAGCTCCAAGACTCTACTCAGCCAGGGTTCAGTGCGGATGCCTGGCTAATGAGGCTGACTACAGGGATTATAATCAGGCAGGGAATATTAGTGTTCTCATGTGTCAGTCAGGAAGGGAAAACCTCCCAGTTCTGCTGGACCAGAGTAAAAATTACAGCTTTGTATTTACCGTGCACGTTGACTCAAACCTGAGACGGATATTGTGGAAAATATTGAGAAAAGATTCCCAAGGATGTGCTCCAGAACAAAAACATTTTCACCATTTCTCCATTTTTCTCCATACATTACTTGTCTCTTTTGAACAAAAAAATCTTGAATATGAAATAACTGATTTGGTGAAAGTCAGGATTTTGTAAAGTGGGGTTCTTTATCACAAAGTGAGAGTTTAAAACAGGTTTTTAAACAATAGTTATTTTTAGATTTAGTTATAAGTTTAATTCTGATCCAACTGAAGCAATAAGACGCTGGTGGGCACAGCTAAGCAAAAAGTTAGCTCCACTAACCGCCAATCCGTTAACCCTCTAATCTGCTAATAACAGATAGAGTTTAATGGCTATTTGCGAACGATTAGTAGTAGCAACAAGCTGTAGCATTTCCTGAGTAGACATTTGGCTGAAAAATCTAAATATTTATTGTATAGTTTGAAATTGTAGAAAAGTTTATAAAACAGCCATTAAAAAAGAACCCATACAGAGAACCTACTTAATTTTTTTTCTACTTGGATTACTGACATGCATCAGGACATTTATAAAACAGTATTGGTATGAACTGCTATGAGGTTTTAGAGAACTGTGGTCATTCAAAGAGTTATCTATAACAGGTAAGATACTAACTGTTCAGAACCTCCTTTATAAAAATCTGAACTTTCCCTTTAAAGCTTGTCCTGAATGGCCATCGTGAGATGAAATATATTACCAGGCGTCACATTTGACCCTCTTCACCCTCCGTGACATTCACGTCTCTCCGAGTTTTAAAGAGTGAAACAGAGAAAGAGATGAGAGATGGAAAGAAAACATTTTTTTTAAAGAAACGCTCTGACTCATGAGAGCGATGTGACATATGGAAGCCATCACAGGCATGGACTCCCATCTGTGTCAGCAGTCGTGGCCTGTTGGCACCCACCCGTCGCTGCGCAGGATAGGAATAATCCAGACCAGAGGATTCATGGAACTGTGATAAGAGAAGTGGAAATCCCTCCAGGATAAAATCTGAGTGGCRGGGTGAAGAGGAGGAGGAGGAGGAGAAAGAAGAAGTGTTTGTGCAGAAGCTTGTTGGCATTCGCAGAAAACAGGTGCCCCCGACAGCTCGGCGGGGTTCAGCCAGTTTTAGTTGTTTCTCACGTTTCAGCCTGCAGCAAATCCCCCAAAACATGACTGAAAAAAACCCCACCTCTTCCTTGTTTTGCATCAGCGTTCCACAAACTGTAAATATGAGCGACACGTTCCTTCAGCCTGAGATTTAAAGAGTTCGTAGTCAGAACCAGATGTTCGCTTCCTGCCCTGCGGCGGAGGTACAGTGCCGCGGATTCATTTCAGTTTGATTTCTGTTTGAGTTACAGCAGCAGGTTTTCTCGGCACTGTGGTTAAAAACCTAAGCGAGAGGCGTAATTGGAAAAGGAAATTGGTTTCTCATCCTAATTTACGTTTGCGTTGTTGGATTTTGCCTAAAGGACTTAATTTAAAGCGTGTTGTTTTAAGCGTCGGCGTTGACCAGAGGTCATTTGAAAATCTTCTGACCACCTTTTTTTTTTTCAAGCTTCATAACCTTTTCAGTGGCCACGTAATCAGCAGGTTGAATATGCTTCCCTCCAGTCACGCTCTGGTTTCTCCTTCCTTTTGAAATGTCAACATACTGTGGAAACGTAACACAAGATGTGATTAAAGTTAATCCACGACTGTTAGTTAAATGCAGATAAAATCCTATAAAGCACCAGCAACAGGAATAAAAGTGTTCTCAAGACGAAAACCGTCTTCTTTGCCAGTCCTCTCACTCAGTTCAGGTTGTTTCGTCAGTGAAAAATTTATCGTCCAGTGGTAAATTTTTTATCGCACCATTTCAGAGGACCCCCGGCGGGCGAGGCTGAGGAGCTGTATCAATCTGAGAGTGAATGCCCTTTAGCAGCTCAGCGTGCACTCACGCACCAAACTGACAGACTTTACAGGAGTCAAAGAACTTTTGAGAAGATGCTTTTTGTGTACAAATGTGTGAGCTGTGGGTTTTAGAGTCGATGTGATCTTGTATGACAGYGCAGTCAGGTCTGCAGCTTGGCTCTGTCCTCCCCTGAGTTCACAGAAGACTGGACCCATCAGATTTAAAGAGATCTCTGCCTACTGTCACATGTTGGCCTTAGTTTGTTGTTTGTGACACGTGAAAACTCTGTTTATTATATTTTTCACTTAAGCATGTCATCACTTTATTACTGACTGTATTCTGGGATGATGATAGCTGCCACTTCACACTAAAACACAATGTCTCAATTCATGGGCTGCAGCCGACATAGACCACGGCTGACGTTGGCTGCGTCAATTCAACATTTCATTTCTTAGTGTGTGTAAAAGTACTTTTACTTTCCCAATTATTGTGAGTAATTTTATGACTTTTACTTAAGTGCCTTTCATATCAGTGAAATTAATTTTTAACAAAGTAATTTTCTGTTAAGGTATTTTAGTTTTTTTTTCCAAGTATTTTATATACATCCAAAACCTGTTGATGTTAGCTTGTTAGTTAGATGTTAGCGGGCTTAAAGTTGGAAAAACCTAATTTAGCAGAAACGAATTGCTCCACTAATGATTTTCAAAGTCAGTGAAAAATCTAGTTTGCTAAATGAAAAATGAGTTCCACTTTTAGCTTTTAGTTGAGCAGAACCATAAAGCACCTCTGATTCCTTTCATTTAACTGTGATTTCTTGGTTTCTTTTGGGCCTGAGGCTTCCACATTAGTCTGGATGCAAAAGTTTGAAAAAGTCAAACATCTAGATCACATATTTTGTTACTTTTCCACTGTTTTCTATGTTTGAATTGATGTTTCCTGCTTTTCACTTTGTCAACGTTCAACTCGTGTTGTTTATTCAACCAAATCTCACCTAATTTTTTCTAAGTTAAGCATAAATTGAGATTTTTTTCACATAGGAAATGTGCCTTTCAAATATAAAACAGCACATTTATGATTAATTAATTAATCTAAATTCCCTCAAGAGAAAAGAAAACTTTTACTAAAAGAATGTCAAAACTTCACACTACTGTATATTTACAGTATGTCCTAAGGTGGGATTGAATTGAGTTCATGTGTGTAACTCATAGTCTCTCCCTCTTTAACCACAATGTTTACCTAACCTTAAACACAACCGTTTTTGACCGTGACAAAGTACTTTTAGTCCACAGAGGTTCCAAATTTCTCATTTCAGAAGCTGTTCTTTCACAGCCCTTACTGAAACCTGCTTCACCTCTCTTTTTGTTTTTAATTTATTTTCTTCTGATTATTTACTGGCAGCATGAATTTTTAGTCATTTGTCTGATTTTGAAAGACAGCTGTGAAGAAAATTTCTAAAAACAAAGAGAAATATTTCGATGTATTTGTAAAATGAATTCCGTAAAACTCACAGAACAGGATTTTATCCTGCTGCTGTAAACTCAGTAAAATTGAGAACAAAACTAAGAATGGATTATTTGTCATGTATGTGTCTAAACAYGACAGCCGCTTCACTCTGAAGCTGTATTTTCAGACCAAACGGCAACCTTTGGACTGGTCACCACGGCCCAGGTGGCTTGTCTCTGTGTTTTAATGAGGCCTGTTGATGGATGACTCTATTACTGTACCACAGCCTGCTGTGTCACCTCCAGCAGCACCCCTCCTCATCCAGAGGATGTTTTCTCCACAGAAGGATATAAATATGGTTGAAAACAWCAAGTAAACAAAACATATCTCCTGCAGGGAGGAAAAAAACTTCCTGACGACAAAAGAAGAGCTTGATTACAGCGAGTGGCCGGCAGATAAGGCGAACAATGCTGACCGCAGTGACACACATCCTCAACGTGATGCTGTTGTCTGCACATCCAGCAGAAAAGAGGTCAGGCAGCTGGATGTTCATGGAGTTAAAACAGCAGAAGTAAAGCCACCACAAGCAACAAGGAATGGCCTGGATCAAGGTGCTCCCCCGTCGTCATCCTGCACGCTATCTGAACCGTATTAGTCAAGCTTGAAAAGACTCCCCTCATTTCCCACAAGACCCCTGAAGATGGATGAGCAGCAGGAAGCCAGACGAAACGCAGGTAAAAAAGAACAAAAGAAAACAGGCAGGGAGTTACAACTTTTTTTTTTTTCCTCAAGACGATGACTTTTTTTGTCAGTGCGCAAAACCACATGGGCCCTCCCCCTAATAAATCCCAGGTGTTCATGTCTGTGAGGTGTTAAAAGGATCTCTGACTAGTTGTGACATTAGACATTATTTATTAAACAATTACTTCAACTAGAAAAACAAGATTGTTAAAATACTGTAGGCTGTTTAGATTTTATAAACTAAAAACATATTGTCACACGAATGTTGCCATGTTATTTACAACGCAAAGCATTCTGGGTAAATGATTAAGCTTACTGGGCCTCCAGTGTGAGCTCTATCCAGCTTGAATGTTAATTTTGGACCATGTAGGATGTTCAGCCCTGTTAAATTAAATCGGAGCGTGTTGACAGAGGAAAATGTAGAAATTACTCCGCCTAAAACTAAAAATGATGAAAGAGGACAACAGAGCTGCTTCATGGAAGGAGAGTCTCAGTTTCACCCTTTTAGCTTTCACGTTAGCTCCATCTCGGAAGTTAACGCTATATGTAAATACTGTATATGGCGTTAGCTCCCAAGCTAATTTACCAAACATCACCTTTAATTGTTTCAACCCATATAATAAAACTAATACACAGTGGTGGACATAGTTCTGCTAATCAGCTAACAACTAATAGCAGAACAAAGTTTGTTGTTTAGCAGATTAAACCTTTAACAGACCAATTATCTTCCACTAAATTCGGTTTTTCTAACTTAGAGTCTGCTAACAGTTAACTAACAAGCTAACATCAACAGGTTTGTGTCCCACCATGGTCTTCAGCTGGAAGGAGACAAGTACGATTGACGCAGGACAGTTGTCTTAGCTGTTAGTGTTAACTTCTGCTAATTTGTACTTGTTTATGTTTAGTGTTTATTTCCACTAATTTATTTGACATGTTTATTGGTTTAGCTTTAGCAAAGCTATATTTTAATTTGCAGATTTTGAGTTAGCAAAGCTAACTTTTTACTTAGCTGTGCCTACCAATGCCAATAAAACAAATAATTCTTCTATTTTACTCTCAGAAATGAAAAAACAGATTTTCGTTGTCTATGTAGTCGAGTCATTTATTATATAAAGTAAAAGAATTTCTTAGTTTTGTTTGATTTTATCCTCCACCGATGTCAGGAAACCAACAATCCTGCGTCATCCTGTTAGAAAAATAAACCTAGAATTAAATTATTATATCGAAGAAGAATTTAAATGTGTTACTGGCAAAAGAAAAAAAACTGTTCATGTCCTTGTTTCAGTTGAAAAGGTTTGTTTGTTCCATGCACTTTAAGCCCTCTAAAGATTCACTCATGCTGAGACGGAGCAATTATGTGCAATTTCAGCTCTCAAGCCCATCTTCAGCAATCACCATGGCGATTTTTAAAACGTTGCTCGAATCAGGAAACAGAGATGCTGTAGGTGGGAATAAATTTATTTTCTGCTGACCACTTTTCGTTCTCTTGATGTTTGGTTTATAAACAAATGTGGTGCCCCTCAGATCCATTTTGTTTATTTAAATCAATTTCTTTGCTTCACTACATGCACAAATTGACAAAGAGTCACAACTGAAAGGCTTTAAATGACTGCTTTTTTCTCTCTTAGGAACAAACATTGAATTCATAAACCCAAATGGGTGGGTGTTTTTATTGCAGTGTGATTTTTTTTTTTTTTTTTTTTTTTTTTTTTTTTTTTTTTGTTCTTTGAAGCAGCTGAAAAAGTCCCCTTATGCAGAAAGTACCCTCAACCAGTGATCAGGAACCTATTCAGAGGACCGTATCTCTTCCATCTGCGGCATGTCGCTGGGCATCCTCCTGCATTCCAGTCCTTTTGTTTGTAGAGGCAGGGGGAAGGACATTAATGAGTCTTTCATTTACTTAACATCCTTGGAAAGTTTGCGGCGGCCTCACACCTGCTGCCTCCACCCTGCAGGAATCTCTGCTTCACCACTGCTGCTGAGGATGTGCAGCCTGGAAACAATGCGAGATGCTCGGCGAAGACAGCGCAGCGAGCGTCGAGGAAACCGTGAGGAATGTCAACCTGAGCAACACCTCCACTTCCACCAAGATGGCCAAGAATGCAGCCATTGTTCAGTGAAAATGGGCTCTTCATCACAGATATTAAGCACCTGTAGACTTCATATACCTTCGCGCTTCATTGTGTCGGTGTTAGCGTTGTTTTGACGAGATTCAGAGGCAAAGGTCAGACACTTCTTTTATGATAACACAGGAATGTCTAATGATTTATTATTGTTTAATAAAACAATGAAAAGATATGCATTTAGAAAGTTTGCCAAAACAAACATTCAGGCAGACATCTGCAACAAAACAGCAGTGACTGAAGAAAGAAAATAAACACGCTTCATAATAACCTGTGCTAAATACTTGTGGTTGATTAATTACATTTGGAAAAACATATACAAAACATTTTGAAACCTTTAGCTTGACTAGATTAAACAATAAACACACTTCACTAATTTGGAGCAATGAGCTCATAATTTGAGCTAAATTAAGATAAAACTAGAATAGCAGAACTGACCAAATTTTTAACTATCAAGATAAGCTAAACAAAGCTAAGCTAAATGCTAAGCTAACTAAATCGTTGAAATATTTAAAGTAGATGACCAGTAACTATCCATACTAAACTAAACAAAGCTAAAATAAATATTATGTAAAACTAGGTTAAACTGAACCAAGCTGAACAAAGCTAAGCTAAATGCTAAGCTAACTAAATTATTGAAATATTTAAAGCAGGTGACCAGTGAGTAAATTTAACTAAGCTAAAATTAGTAGTATGCTAAACTAGGTTAAACTGAACCAAACTAAACTAAACAAAGCTAAGTGCTAAGCTAAAGTCCAAATAGGCATGACTTTGTTTTGTAAACTTAAACATTTACTGAACTGACATGGTTTTATACATACTCTATATACATCCACCAGAAGAAGAAGTTGACTTTCTGAGGTTTAGAGTTGTGGAACATATTTAAGAACACCAAAGTGTAAGAGGACGCTCAGTGTTTTGTTTGACTTTGAACTGCCAGTCTGAGGCTGACTGACACCAAAATCTTGCTAAAAAGGTTAGACACACAACCATTGTTCTCCATGATGGTTTGCAGCAGCTCAGCAGGGACTCAGACGCCCCGCTGCTAATATGTGTAATGTCTTCCCCCTTTCCTCTGTGACCCCCAAACCTAGAGTACCACTCTGCTGTGCTACATTGATGACCTGTAGGATCTCAGAGGGGCCTCTGGTAGATTTATTAGCACCATACTATTGTTTACTCAAAGTGTCAGCTTATTTTTTTTTTCTCTGTAAGAGACAGGATGGTTGAGCTGATGAATCATCAGACAGGATTGATGTTATTGATCCAGAGAGCTGTTCCTCACCTGGTTTCAATATTTTATTCACTTATTTGCATGATTTGGTTACTTTAAACAAATGTATTTTTGCATCAACCTTACATATTTGTTAAAAATATCTCAAAGTTTTTTTATTGTTCTCAAATCTCAAAATTTCCTATACTTAAAGAGGATTGTTTGAGTCCATTTTAGACCAGTGGTGGGTATAGCTATCCAAAAAGCTAGTTTTGTAATTCAATCTGCTAATTAAAAACATAGCTTTGTTAAAAGAAAACAATTAGCATTACCTAAACAAATACAAATTAGAGGGAGCTACTGCTTAATAGTAAACAAATAAAAAATTACTGAAAACTAAACCTAAGCAACTAAACAAGTAAAAATTGTTCGTTTGGCGGCACGACGGCTCAGTGGTTAGCACTAACGCCTCACAGCAAGAAGGTCGTGGGTTTGATGCCCGGTTCGGACCTGGGGTCTTTCTGTGCAGAGTTTGCATGTTCCCCTTGTGTTTGCGTGGGTTTTCTCCGGGTACTCCGGTTTCCCCCACCACTAAAAAACATGTACAATAGGTTGTCTTCAGGCCCAGGCCTCCCTTGAAAAAGAGATCTGAGATCTCAAGGAAACTTTCCTGGTTAAATATTGGTAAATAAATAAATAAAAATTTGCGGAAGCTAACRCTAATCACTAAGATGACTGTCATTCAGTTTGTGTCACATATCTTTGTCTCCTTCCAGCTTGATAGTACTGACACAAAACTGTTGTTAATTTGTTTGTTAGCAGACTTATAGTTGGAAAAACCTAATTTAGGAGAAGCTAATTCGTCCGCTAACGTTTTCAAAGTTAGTGAAAAAGCTAATCTGCTAAACAAAAAATTAGTTGCGCTACTAACTGTTAGCTGATTAGCAGAACCATGTCCACCACCCCAGTTAGAGAAATGCATTCTCACAGTTTCCACTGTTATGTTTTGCTTTTTATTTGTATAAAACAATAGTTTGGAAAATTTAAAGCACAAGGACTCTATTTTATTGTATTCACTAGGTACAGTGGTTTGCAAAAGTATTCATACCCCTTGAACTTTTCCATATTTTGTCACATTACAACCACAAACATAAATATATTTCACTGGAATTTAATGTGAAAGACCAACACAAAGTGGTATACAATTGTGAAGTGAAAGCAAAATTTTACATGAATCAAAACATTTTTTACAAATAAAAAACTGATAAGTGCGATGTGCAAAATTATTCAGCCCCCCTGAGTCAATACTTTGTGGAGCCACCTTTTGCTGCAATTACAGCTGCAAGTCTTTTAGGGTATGTCTCCACCAGCTTTGCACATCTAGTGACTGCAATTCTTGCCCATTCCTCCTTGCAAAACAGCTCAAGCTCAGTCAGATTGGATGGAGAGCGTTTGTGAACAGCAGTTTTGAGATCTTGCCACAAATTCTCAATTGGGTTTAGGTCTGGACTTTGACTGGGCCATTCTAACACATGAATATTCTTTTTTTTAAACCACTCCATTGTAGCTTTGGCTTTATGTTTAGGGTCGTTGTCCTGCTGGAAGGTGAACCTCCGCCCCAGTCTCAAATCTTTTGCTGACTCCAACAGGTTTTCTTCCAAGATTGCCCTGTATTTGGCTC